CATTGTGTGACTCCCGCCATGGCCACCAATACACTCCACAATGATTAGACTTAGACCATTTTGATTATTGTACTCACCCGGCAGTTGCAATTTTGGTGAATATTATAGGACGGTTGTCAGGCCCGGCAATGGATATTTTGGCACTTTCACAATTGCATTGACAAGTTATCATAATGGCAAACAAATAGTTGGGGAGGGGACTGAACATAACTTATCATATCTATTGGTGAGGTTTAAAAAGCAAACTTAAATCGTATGGATCGTAACCATTGTCCCGTCAAAATAGTATTTGACCCACAAGCAATTCAGCTTAGCGTTCACCTTTCACATAAGTTTCATGGTCGCCAATGTAACACTTATCACGAGGTTTGTCCCTGAAAGCGCGTCGGTTGAAGATCGCACCGCTGTGAGTGTCTCGGGAAGCTGATGCCGTCTTCTTGTTGATCTGTAGTGAAATTCCAAGTTGGTCGAGCATTTCATCATTTGTCGAGTAGAGAGTACAATGTCGGACTTCTTTCGATCTCCAAACGAGCTTAACGAGGCCATCGTGCTTAGAAAAATCGATTCCCACTCGATAATCGGGAAATACAAATTGCCCACCACTTAATCTGGACGGACTCTTCAACCCACCAATAGACCAATTGGTCCGGTTGACTGGGATGAACATGCCAAACGCAAATTCCGAAAGGTCGTCCTTGTCGCAATGTGGCGAATTGAAAAATCGATTCGAGGTGAAAGTGAGATTGGGTGCACAATCATCATCATTGATTGGCCTTCCAAAGGAAAGGTGGCCAATTGAGGGAATGCCATATTCTTTCATGAGCTCTTGATTACTATCAAATGCCACGTTTGCGAGTCGTTTGAAGATTCGGCCGAGCATGCTGGAGATCTTCTGAGACTGTTGCATCAAGTTATCGTAGACGTCCGGGGCTTTTGCAATGGCAGCATTGTTCCTATAACGGCCAAATAGTTCGAATGCAACCATGGCCTTTCTCCACCCAATTGCGAACATATTTCCTCCCCAAGACCTTCCCTCAGAGTCAACAGCATTGACAAAGCACTTCGCGGTATTGAGGAAACTTGTTAGTTGACCTATTTCCTCTACTTCGCCAGGCGTTATGTCATCCCAACGAGTGAACTCTGCAATGGCTATAATTTTCGATTCGTTATCTTTGTCGTGGATGACAATCTTGCCTTGGTGGAAATACTTGAACTGAGCTGCTTTCGTATTACAATACTCAATCTCGAATGGAGTGGGTGGACGCTCCGGCTCATCGCCAAGAATGTGAGGATAGAGTTCGAGGGGAATGTATCGTTTTGAGCACCATATTATCGAGTCTTTATGGTGACGGGACTTGTCTGAAGGGGTGAAGTTCTCCTTAGGATGATCTCCAATGGCCTGAGGTTTGGGCAATGGAGCGCTTGCCTCGACCCAAGTGGTCCAATCTGTATCGTCAACGGTAAGGGACAATTCACTCGTTCGCTTATCGGCATGTCTTCTGCAACAATTTTTTCTCTTCCTTTCCGCCAAGTAAGCTTCCCGGATATTTGTCATAATGTCAAGGCGCGAACAGTATCCTACTATCACACTCTAGACAAAACTCCAATAACCGATCACTTCCAAATGTTGGATTGGGGTGGAATCGATTGGTTCGTCCTGAAATTTGTAAGTAACTGTTTGGTTGATGAAGACGTTAGCAGGGGAAACGACAAAAGCTAAGGCAACGCATAAGAACAATATCTGACAACTAATTTTCGAAAGGAAGGATGACCTTACAATAATATCAACCTTGGCAATTAATGCTTATAATTTGCTTGAAATCGGGTGCTATTCGTCCTGGTCTCCACAACACTCAAGTAGAGTCATCAGGGTTTGAAATTCCCAAATCTTCTGATGGTCTTGTCTAGGAGGGTGAAATAAGGGTGATGGATTAGCCGAAATAGATTACCCCTGAGATTGAAGACAAAGACGCACACTGCAGCCGTGAGATTTGATTAAGCGATTTCAGCTCTATATTCGCTCCTCTTCTCCTTGAACAGCCCTTCAGATGTATGTTTGCTGAGAACTGCGATGAGGCCAGACAAATCGCAAAGCTCGCACGAATAACGGGTGAACGGACGGTTGAGGTCAATTGGTCTTCTCTAGCAACCGTTCAGATCGGATCTTCAATGAAAGGGGTAAGGGGCGATTGTTATGTCAACGTTACACAATCGTGAAGGACAATTCAAGGAAATAGTGGGGTTTTACCTAAACCGTTAACTATCCACGTTTGAGTCGTTCTAGGCCCGTTCCTAGCGAGATGATTAATCAACGGGAGAAGTGATGAGATTGACCCAACAAGACGGAGAAGCAAATCGGGTATTGCATTGCTATTTTCGGTCGGACGACTCCTTACTTGGCGAAGTTGTATTAATGCGCTTCGAGATCGAGACGCCAAAATCACACGAGTTATTCTTGAGATGAACAAAAAACGGAGTCATGGTAAAGTTGATTCAGTATCAGCATAGTGACGATCAAGTCCAAACAAAGGCACTTGGTACCGTGTATAGTTGACAATGAGTAGCCAACGATTCGAAAGTTGAAGTCACTGATGATGT